GATTATATACTAATGTAATACCTATGAATATTATTATCCAATAGATTCTCCTAAATGTTACACACTGGACCTTTAAAATAAATACTAAGCATATCAAAATATAACTGACAAAAGATTTGTATAAGTTGTATATAATGATTCCTTACTCACCGTGGTAGTCAATTAGCAGGCCTTATAAACGGTAATATTACAAATACTGTTTACCCCACCGAAGGTTTGTGAGAGCACAGTAAGTAGTGTCTTTTTCTAACCTCTGGGCACTATCACATGTCCACAAATCCCCTCTCAATTTATTGTCAGTGGAGCAAGTCTAAGATTTGACTGTGGTGACATCATCCAGACAGTATTGACTCTCATGTTGTGAGCTTTAAGCAGCTTCTGCGTATCCTCATATGACGATAAAGTTACCAAGATCCTGTGAATAAGTGATTTCATTTTTTTTTTTTTTTTTAATGGCTTTTCACCTCGAGGTCACACATGCTTTACCCTGAGAAAATCTTTTTCATTTGGAGTCATTGCTGTTGTGAAGGTCCTACCAAATCCTATTCACATTCCATTATCTTTTTATTCCCTCCATCAGTTCACAAGGACCATTGATCACATGTGGATTTGTGTGATAGAAAAACCTCAAGATACCTCGCGGTATCTGCTATTATACAATATGTTCCATTCACAAATGTTGAATCAGTACCTGTGGAAGTAACAAAGTAGAGATGTAGTTAACATCGTCAATATTCATGGGCTGGTGGTTTTGTTCATAGTTATAAAATTTATGTCTGCAGCTCTTTCACAGAAAAACGCATTCTTATTTTAAAATATTTAAGCTTGATTGATTTCTCATCCTGCAGTCTTTAGGCTTGTAACTGGTAAAAGTCTTTAATGTAATATGTTACTGTTGTTAATAGTAGTCTTAACACCAGCTATGCTTTAATTTCAGGAAACCTGAGTGTTGAAATTGTGTACATTTGACCCACAGAAATATGCTGCCATTATACTATGTAGGGTGTCATATTCTTATTTTCAGTGAATGGGAAGATGGAGATGGACTGTCATGAGACTTTTAGTACCCACATGGTTAAATCTCCACTGCATGTTTTTATCTGGATATCCTGCAGAATCACTGAAGCCAAAGTCTGATTTAGCTTTAAAGAATAATTCAACAGATATGTTTTTTCACTGTTTTCATTTCATAATTTCATTTTAACAGCATGTCTCATACAGTTGTAGCAAATGTTCCAGTGAAAAAGCAAGCTTTATTTACACATTTACAGTAAACTATCATGGTAAAACTGGAAACAATCAATTCTTGAAATGTAAGTAAGTGTACAACATTACAGTAGGCACTGGGTTAAGAAAATCAGTTAAAACAGCTCATATGAAATCTTAAAACTTTATTAGTCATAGATGTGGCAGGTGTAAGACTGCAATTTTCAATTATACACAGCACTACTTATTTTACTACTAACACTTGAAACAGTAATACTTTATTGGTCATCCCATAATTGTACATTGTCACAGGAAAATTTTAAATCTTCAAGAAGTAAGAAATGCAGCTATGGCTGTAAGTGTTTTCTCCTCGTAATACAATCCATGTAATTCTTTGAAGTACATGAAAATAACAAAATCTATGGATACAAGGTTTTCACAGTATCAGTTTGATATAACTGGTTGATTCAATGATAATGAGACATTAATGATCACTGTAGAAAATGCTGCTAAATGGTTATAGCTGAAATTTGAGAAAATAAACCATACAATCCAACATTAAATAGCTGTAATATAAAGCTGAAGTAAGCCGCTTCTACATCCGTTTGTGTAATATATACATATCCCACACTGCTACCACATTACACCTTGTGTTACAGTAATTCAATACAGCGTCTGCTGCCTTTGGGGCCACATGTGAACCATGTCTGGGCTCAGGACTGAATGCTGCCACAGCTTTCTCTCTTGTGTCTTCTCCCAAACTTTTTCACTGTCTGAGTACATGAAAAAAAAACTGTGAGGCGAGTGGACTGCCCACTCTCCCTCTTAAAAAGAAAAGGGAGGGTAGGTCACACTGAAAGAGACACATCTCACAAGTGCCCAGTACAACCGCAGTCTTGTACTGCTGGTCGCTGTGCAGCTCCACTGGGACAGATGGGGTTTAAGCTGCTTTGCCGAAGGGTACTTCAGCAGTAGTTCCTGAGGGTTAGAGAGCACTTATCACACAATTCCCCTACCCAGACGTTCCCAGCAAGTCCTTAGAGTTAAACCATTGACCTTTTGGTCAGTGCTGCTACAATGCTGCTGCCTGAAGCTATCATCACGCATGCTCCATCTATGCGGTCTTTAGCAGCCAAAACAACACATCATTTATAATTTCTCATATCATCTCTCCATACTGCAGTTTTGATCACTTTAACAGCCGCAATTCAAACAACCAGCATTTACAAATACATTAAGAGCATGCTGGCAGTCAGCCTAAAGAGTGATCATTGAGACAAATTGATCCCTATCTGTTTAAATTGGCACTATAATCTATCATTGGCAAATTGAACACACTGAGCTATCAGGGATCTATTGCCTTTTTAGATAGCGGCCCTTGGGGCACACAGACACAGAGAAAGTGATCTACACCACTGAATGAACTCTTTATAAAATGGTCTCAACTAAGACATGTATGTCTGCTTATACGAAAGCACACTTTCACTAAAAAGTGGATATTATAAAACTATTCACTATCACAATGCATATACATGCCTCTGTGTAGCTTACATGTGCATGCATACAATCATATGCTTACACACACACACATGCATGTTTACCATAAGAGGGTGATAATTGGGATGATAGAATGCAATTATTTGTAATGACATATTATTAAAAAGACAGAAACATAATTTAAAGGACAAGTTATACTTTTGTTAATAAAGTCTGTAAAATCCGTGCTTACGAAGCAACCATGTAGAGAAAAAGTGAGCCAAATCAAAAGAAACTATATGGAATACATACACACACACACAGCATACATTATCAGGATTAAAGCCATATGTAAAACATTTGAGATAATAATTTTATGCCCACACAATTATTAAATATTTTATATCATGACAATTTTAATGTTAAAATATCCTGATAAAGAATATTTTGCTTCTATTTCTCCCTGTGATTATCTCTGAGTCTACAGTAACTTGTTGAAACTTTAATTATGTTTTGTCAGCAAATATTCTTTACCTTAATGAAGCCAAATGTAAAAGCAGATATTGACTAATTGGTGTAGTTTTCTTTGCACATAGCAACATCACAACAGCACAATGAAGCACTGCTATAAAGAGACAAGAGATAAAACCTTTACTAGAGGGGTCTGATTGATATTATGCAATGCAGCAGATAAAAATGCATGACATATGGGGCACAAGCACCATCAATCAAGTGATCTTTATCTGGCAGGAAGAAACAATTTGTGGGTGTTTTAAAGAGAGTTTTGAATAATAAAAGTATGCTGAAAATGTTTTAAACTAGAAACAGCTGGAACCTGTTGTCTGTTAACAAATAGTCCTGTTATCAATAATTAATTTCACTATTTTTTAATATTTTCAAATTATATTTGAAAAAGATTTTCATTGTGTTTTTCTTTAAGTGTGACAATTGAGTTTCTGTCCTGATTCAGAAACAGTCATCTAATTCAATCAGACTCTTGAAGTTGATTAGCCTGGTTAACATTTGCTCCTGCGCGGGTCTTGAAGGGTTAATCAGGCCGGGAACTTGGAGACCTCCGGGTCAGTATCACTCTATCTGCATGAAGGACTTAGTGAAGGCACAGATAAGATGAAAGTCAACTTTTAGGCCAGTTTTGACTTTTTTAAACGAGTGTGAGAGGGGTTTCTTGCCGTCAGCTGGACAATCTTTTTTTTTTTAGATCATCTTTTTTTTTAAACTGCGATTTAAACGCAGCAATTCCCGCTGACAGCGGTGTAGTTTTAGTCAACAATCTGTTGACTTTAACCTGTTTTGCATGTTTACATATGCGCACAATTGCCAATCGCAGTGCGCGTGTCAGTTTGAACCTGATACACGAGTGAGAGCTTTTCCTTTGCACACCCGTATATCTCAACTATTACTCACTATCGATTAATTTAACTGCACTTATCCCAATCAGCACATCTCCACTCCTGTGTTCCAGAGCGTGTGCTTTGTTTTACTAACAATAATAAAGTGATTTAGTCCTTTCTCCCAGCCGGAGCATGGGAAATCGTTAAAGATCCAGCTATTTGTGTGTGATCAGTAAATATTTAGTGCAGGCGACATCCTCTGTCTCGTCTTAATCGATACTGGTCCCGTTGGGCAGCGCTATTGTTGTGTGCTTGCAGGCTTGCTGAGCATATAGTGCTTTTATCCTCCGCTTGAAGGGAGAACAACTACTAATCACACAGAGGAAACTTTTAAACCCGGGAAATAAAAACTGCAGCACAAGACTTTGGGGGGGGGGGGTTAATAGCAAATCAATTGTATTGGTGTGTACATGTTTACGCGTGAAAAAAAATTTTGCTAAATTTTTCAACCCAGTATAGATTTACGCGAGGGTAATTGAGGCTATTATCATGTCTTATATAGCCCTATTTATTCTCTGAATAGTGTATAATTGCTGGAGGTGTAACTGTAAAAAAGCAGATATTATTAATTACGTAGTCGCTTGTGTATAATAATTTATATTATATGTATTAATATTAGATTAATTAAATAGAAATATAACAATAATAATAATACTAATCTCACAATAGTCACTGCTGTTGTATAGGCTTCAGTTAAGCATAGGCTAATAGATGTTTAATTTACAATAAAATTACAATTTTGGTATTTTTAATTAAAGCTCTAATCACAGGTCTTATCGCATCTTTACTTCCAATCTCCTTATAATTTCTAATAAGCAGAATCTCATAATGCATGCTCGCCTCACTTAAAGACAGGTGTCTGTTCTGACTTCACCCCCTCCCTCTCTCCTCAGTAGCCCACACAAAGCAGCGGCGTACAAGCGCGTTTTGGCCATATTACTGTAGGAGAGAAAAGGCGAACAGGATCTCTGCTTGCTGTAAAGACTACTTATCATTTCCACCGGCAGTCAAATGGTATTCTGCTCGGACGGCACGTCAACTTATATTTCCAATTTCTCGCCTCAACAACACATAACGTGAATCAGTTGTTTGCTTCGGCTCTCCAAAGTTTTTGCATGATCAGACATTTGCAATTTTCCAATAAAACAGCGTGCTTTTTTTGTGTTTGATCCCGTCTGTTGGAGAGGACGCTTTGCCAGTTTCAATCTGAGCACTGTGTCGAAAAAGAGAAGACTAAATATATTCTGAATAAGAGAGAGAAGATGCATCCCGCTACGGACGAATCAGCAACAACATATGCATTTGGTAGGTTTGTTACTATAAGAATACAACCTCCTGCCTCACTCTCACTATCAGATCACTTTATGAATGGGTATTTGGAAACTAGTTGGGCTTACTGTGATCATCATATAAATTATCACTTGATAATAAGCGAGGATGACTGACAGAGTCGCGTATGCAATGCGCACTGTAGAAATATCGTATATGTACGTTTCTATGTGCTCTGCTGCAGCAGTCCGTGTCTTTTATTTCTTCCGATACGCCTGTCCGCTTCTTTGCACAATATTTAATTTAGCGCAGACGAATAAAGGAATGATACTTTGCCGACTTATACTAATAAAGTGTTCAAAAATGTATACTTACCATTTGAAGCAAAGCTGGATCCTCGGTAAGTGGATACCTTGCGGTGTATTTTTTATTTACAGACTCTCCATGTTCACCGGATCTGTAAATAAAACCGACAAAATAATCATGCAGACAAAATATAATTGGCTAATTTGTTTTAGAATAAAGACATAATTGGTCTAAATACCACCGCTGGGGACTGTCTGAAGTGGCAAAAAAGTAAATCCAACTTTGGCAACTCTCAAAGCTTTGCCGTCCAAGTCATGTAAAACAGAATTTAAACAAACAGTCATCAGTTTAAAATGGTGCTCGTTAGTTTGGTCGATGCGGGAGACGAGACTGAAGCAGTTTCCGTGTCGGATGGCTCCTCTAAATTGAATCTTATTTGAAGCGAGAACTTCATACGCTAGGGGGCACCCATATACTGTAATACATCCTGGGACAATGCATGCTGCTGCTGCTGCTCTCTCTGCACACTAACACCCAGCTCCATGGTGCTTTATGTTCATCTGTATGTCTCCGTGAAGTTTTACCTGCAGTTCAAGTTTGATAGCCCGCGGGCATAAAGTAAATCAGTCGTTACCGCTGTTTTAAATACAAGCCTAAAAAATGATTAACCATGTAGACAGCAGCTCTGAACAACCACTGACCCCGTTTTACATGCACGGCATCCTTCATTGTGTTTGTCATTATCACAAAGTATAGATTATCTTTATTGTAGGGCAACATCTGACAGACATTACGCAGTATCCAAATAACCGCAAACAGCTTTTATAGTGTTGTTTATCAGGAAATGGCTTCCATCCTAACCTTAATGTGAAGGGCATGGCCTTTAACCTCAAGTGACATTTTTAAATGTAGTCCTCCGTTTGAAGCTATAGACATTTCACGTTTTTGACCACATAAAAATGCAAAACTCTGGACTTTCGAGACCCACATTTGGCCTTTTCTGACCTGGTGGACTGTAGGAATATTTGTAGCCAGAGGGATTAGTAGGCTACAGCGGGAGCCCAGATGATGTCAGTAGCCTATCATAACATTTTTATAAGAGGTGTGGATTGTGATGAATGGTACCTGGTGTGATGAGAAGCACTAATGGGTGTATTAGCCTGTACGGGTATAGGAACCGTGGACTTCATTTAGAGAATAACGTAGAAATTCAAACGACATGGCTTTATTGTTGTCTTGTTCACCTGGTGGGTGACCCTGTGTACATATGCATGGACCAAATTAGTCTTCACGTGCTTATTCAGTATCATACAGAGTGCCTTATTTTGTCTTTGTCTTGTGTGTGTGTGTGTGTGTGTGTGTGTGTTTCCTCCCAAATATGTACTCTCTTTATATCCACATACCTAAAGGATTAAGATAAGGGCACAATAGATAGACACTTTTATTGTAATAAGCACAGATCATATCCAGAAGGTGCACCTGTGTATCGGGGACAAACATTTTCTTTGGGTTTCTCAGCTTGTTGCGGGACTTGCGGGGTATACTGCAACGCGATATGAGGCAAAGAAGTGAATTGAGATTTTTTTTGCCTTTTCTTCATGAAATTGCTAAGGCTTTTTGCCGGGCGTGCATGTGAGAATAGCCTATAGTCTGGGCAAATAGAGGGACTAGAAAACGATTCCTCTTTCCCGAAACACGTCTCCTTTTAGGACCAAGCGGCCCTCTCGACCTCCATGCTGGCTCTGGCAAGGTACCAAGTAGCACAAGTGCCGACTAGCCAATGGGGTTCAGGGGGAGGTCCCTGAGCTCTGACCAGTCAAACACACTCTCCTTCCTTATATGGCAGCCGATCTCCATGGTAACGTGTGCTAAGTTGCAGCAGTCGTGTCAAAGTTCACTATATAGAGAGCTCAGTGAGCTGATCAGAGAGAAAGCATTCTGCCAGCCCGGCTCCTACCAATCGCAAATCACTTCCTAACCTCCGCCTTTTTAACATATTTGATCACTTTGATTCTCTACTCCTTTTTCCTATTATTTTTCAGTCCACGGAGGAGGTTTGTAGGTTGTGATCTTTGTTTTTTTGTTTTTTGTTTTAGTGCTTTCGCTTTTTTGGGGGGAGAGTTGTCTTCGTATCCCAGGCTCTCAAAACATTGGCTTCAGCTGCGCGCTCGCTTGGCGCTACCTCATAGGAAGAAAAGGAAGAAGACGCATTTTTTTTTACCCAGTTGGTGATTTTCTTCAAGACTTGTGCTGGAACTTGATAGTAGCTGCTACAGTGTGTGCTCACCAATTGTTTTGTATGCTGCTGCAGGCACGGTCTTAACCAAACCTGCTCCATCATCCACTGAACAGTCCATGCTACCTCGGTTGATTATTTCAATATTTAGACTACCTTTCCCATTGATGGGTGTACTGGATGGCTGACTGTAAGCGCCCCTGGACTTGGCCTTTAAGCGCAAGGCAGCGACTCAGCTCGCCATCGCATCAGTTTTGAAAACGTGCTTCGCAACGTCTCCAACAGCAATAAATCGACAGTTTTTCGGGAGATCCAGAGTGGATTCAACGTAGGCTAGATTTGACATTTTGTGTGTCCGGCTGTTAATCACAGTTTACCGCGTTTCCTTGAGACATTATTCACCGCGACACCAAAACGGCAGACAAAAAGTTTCTTTACGTTGACTGATAGATATGGCAATGGTAGTGTGGAGAGGCTCCCAGGACGATGTGGCTGACACCCAAGGCACCCTTTCCTCGCAAACCCAAGGAGGACTATCTCTTCCCACCCCTCAACCAGGCCAGTTGAATCTGACAGCCTCTCAGGTCGCCCCTCCGACCCCTCAGACTCCGGTCCAAGGACCCCCGAACAACACACAGTCCACGCCGACGAACCAGACGACGCAGCAGTCGGAGAAACAGCCACAGCACATTGAATGTGTGGTCTGTGGGGATAAATCTAGTGGCAAACACTATGGCCAGTTTACTTGCGAGGGGTGCAAAAGCTTCTTCAAACGGAGCGTACGACGGAACCTCACTTACACATGCCGTGCCAACAGGAATTGTCCAATCGACCAACACCACCGCAATCAGTGTCAGTACTGCCGCCTCAAAAAATGCCTCAAAGTCGGCATGAGACGGGAAGGTATTGGGACTTTTTGTTTTATCATCCACATATGTGTGTGTGTGTGTGTGCGTGTGTTTCTAGGCTTTCCAGACATGAAACCATGTTATGTCGCCCCCATAGCCCGTTCTCTCTGTCTCCCGACTGTTCTCCTCCACGGCTGTGCGGCTGGAGCACGCCATGGAGCCGCTGTCTGCTGTGGTCGAGACGGGGCTCGTCAGATCTTCCTTTTAGCGTTGCGTTATAATATCCAGCTCCGGCGCATTATAGCTGTGCATTTCACAAATAAGATCCGAGCCCTTGACCAGGCTTGGGCTATCGAATTATATATTTAGATGAAGCCACGAGCGTAGAGATACATCTGTATTGAATAGAGGATACAATATAGCCTGCGCTATTATGGCGAGTATCGAATTAAGAGATAGCGTGTTCAGGCTACATCTCCACATCTACCCTGCAATGTCTCGCTCAGTGGGTCTAAAACCGGACATCGGCTTGAATTATACATACAAAGCCTCCCTATAACCGCAAGAATTTATTTGAATCTTAGTCGAAAATAGGCCTGCATGTATGGTAAAGCGAGATGAATTGCTAAGTAGGTTAAGGGTTAAACATGCAAGGTCTCCCTTGCCCTCTTTGTGTTCCTTCACAGCCAGCTCATGTTGCTGTTGCTGAATAACATCATTTTAAAGCTAGACATATGCATGGCTCGTGTAAAACGTGTTTAAAGCGCATCTCTGGTGTTTCAGTCCAGGATTAGTCTCCCTACAGCCTCATTATTATCAGTGCAACCTGTCTTTTTTAAACTCCTATGCAATAACATAATATGTGTGAGTGTATGTGTGTGTGTGTGTGTATATGTGTGTGTGTTGATGTTATATAGCAAACATGCTGTGTGTCATTAATTTTCTGAAGGTGTGAGATTTTGATTCAGTTTTGTTCCTTGCACTTGTGAAATGTATAATATTTGACAGCAGCCTTCATGCTCAGTGATTGTGTGATTATTTGTAGAATTCAGGCTTCAATATCTGTAGTTTCTCTTTTTACTGCAGCCGTGCAAAGGGGACGGGTGCCACCCACACAGCCACACCATGGTCAGTTCGCCTTGACAAATGGAGACCCACTGCACTGCCATTCCTACTTATCCGGATATATCTCTCTTCTGTTGAGAGCGGAGCCCTACCCGACGTCCCGGTATGGCAGTCAATGCATGCAGCCCAACAACATAATGGGCATCGAGAACATTTGTGAACTAGCAGCCAGGATGCTCTTCAGCGCCGTGGAGTGGGCCAGGAATATTCCCTTCTTTCCAGACCTTCAGATCACCGACCAGGTGGCTCTGCTGAGGTTGACGTGGAGTGAGTTATTTGTCCTCAACGCCGCGCAGTGCTCCATGCCCCTGCATGTGGCTCCTCTCCTGGCGGCGGCTGGCCTTCACGCCTCCCCCATGTCTGCGGACAGAGTGGTGGCCTTTATGGACCACATTAGGATCTTCCAAGAACAAGTGGAAAAGCTCAAAGCTTTGCACGTTGACTCTGCTGAATATAGCTGCTTAAAGGCAATTGTGCTCTTCACCACAGGTAAGACAATAGACGGGCACACTCCAAGTTCAGCCTGTATGAATGTCACTAACATGCACACTGCACACATCATGCTAAATCAACGCTGACCTAAATGTATATATCTGCACTGGCTAGAGGTTTTTGCTTGTCTTAGATGAACACCCTGCCTAAATGTTCACCTCTACTGCCTTCTTGCTCAAGGGCTTTTTCTATAGGCTTTATCCTACTGAAGTATAAAAAAAGAACCACTTGGTTAATCAAGTGGTTTATCAGACACACACACACAGCAAATCGTGGCTTGACCACGCAAAATATTTTTTAATTAATAATTTCAATTAAAATTGACAACAAAACAGAGGAAATTGACTGAAACCTCACAATATAATCCCGAGTTAAATAAAACTGATAACCTCCAAGAATTGCCTTAAGCGTAATAAAAATCTAGCTGTAAATACACTTTTGGAGAATCCAATAAGTTGCAGATGAATTGCTCCACTTTGATTTTTTTTTTAATTTTCCGCCATTTATCAATGTGTGTATACTCCACGTCTTGATTGACAGATATAAATGATGTCAGGCTCCGAGGGGGAGGGGAATAGAAAAAGAAAGACAAGCCTAATGTCCCATTTGCACACAGTAAAAGCAAAGCGCAGGTTTCAACGCTCTCTTGTCATTTAGGAGGACAGACACGTCCGAGAAAAAGCATGTAGAAACCGTGCACGCCCTGTAATAGAAAATATGTCAGTATCTAACAGTATTGTGTGATATCAAGCAGTGACAGGAGGGGCGGCTTTAATTTTTATTTGCAGAAATATTCTCTCCGCCTAGTAGGATTTCAAGGCGTCTCTGGACTTGCTCCAGAACTAGGTCATGACCCAAACTTCCCTGCTATTTTGTTACATTAGCTACGCCATTAAACGGGGAAAATAATAATAATAAAAATACGTGTGGAAGAGATTTACAAGGTTTCACCACAGACTGAATGCATGTCTTTGATATGATATCATACCTGCAAGCCACCAGCCTCTGTAATCCCTTCAGCTCTAGCAACCCACTATTGTTTTCGTGGTGGCTTGTTAGCCTATTCTTTATGAAGAGAAAAAAAAATCATATTTCAGGTCATTGAATTTTATTATTAAGCCTTTATAGGAGCCACTATGGCTTAATTTGTCTTCTCCATACCTGAGTCCCGGAGGCTTAAACATGAGCTGTGTGTTGTAGCTTGAATGACACGCCTTTGCTACTTTGGTGGTTTGGTTGTTGTCATGCATAAACTTTACAAACTTAACCAATGCGCATACAAGCGTTTTTGGCACATAATCAGCTGCCGCCCACATGCAGCAGCATAGATAGTGATTATGCGTCTCTGGTGGTATAGTATGACGGCAACTCCGTAGGCTATGGGCCCTTTTTTCCAAGCTAAATCTCTGCTCACTAAAGGTCAGTAGGTCTCCCTGTCTTTCCCTCTCTCTCTCTCCCTCCCCCCCCCCTCCTCCTCTCTCCCTCGCTTTGCCTCTGACTGTGAAAGACAGGCCAATCTAAAACACAGTCTTTAGCTATGAATATGCTTAATTATTTAGTTCACTTTTAAGTGGCTTTATCGAGGGAAATACCCGAGTTATAACAGCGATAAAATGGGGAACACCGAGTCAGGACAGTGGGAAAGCAACACTCACGTTTTGATCTGCTTCTTCAGTGTGGCAAATCCAAGAGTTCAAGTTCTGTTTTTGTTTTATTTATATACATAATTTTAAATAAAATATAGTGGTTACAGCAATAGAGGTTGCCATCACAGTCTAGAGCTGTGTTTGTTTTATCTGTGCTATGGTAATTATTCGCCAATTCGCCTAGCGCAATGTTAATTATTATGATTACAAGTTACTTACATTAATCATTTTCATCCCCACGATGAAAAATATGTGCACCTACTTATTTAATGAAAACAAGCGATCGTGACCAAAATAAACCACACCTTATCTTAACATACTCGAATAACGCATACGAATATTTCCTAATAATTGACTTCTTTTTTTCTTTTTCTCCAACATATGACAGGCTATCAAATTTCCGCCAGGTAACATCACCCACAGTGGGGGAAACAAAAAAACTCTAGTGAGAGAAACAATTAAGGATTAACACCTTCTATTAATGTTTATTTGCTTTTCCCCCCCTCTCGAATGTTGTGGCCTCTCAGATTGTGGCCCATGTGGAAACAGTTTGCAGGAGAGTCCAGTGCGACCCTGGAGGAAATATGTCCGGAGCACAGTATCCCAACCAGCAAACACGGTTTGGGAAGTTGATTACTCCGCTTGCCCTTCCTCCGCCACAGTCTCTTCCTTCGGTCATCAGCAACAGATTATTTTTCGTCGCACATTGAGCTAAGCGTAAAACCCCAATTGAAACTCTCATCAGGGATACTGATTGCTCTTCCGGGGAGCATTTTAACTGGCCTTAAACATGATCAAATCAGTAAACCAAGAAGGAGACGAAAAACAAAAAGGTGGGGTTGGGCCGGCGGGGTGGGTGGGGTTGGGGGGGCTTGCACAATGATTATAGCTGCTTTTGTGGAAGGAATAAAAAACCAACCGGCTGTTACACGGGGCTGGCTTTCATGAAGAAAGACATTTGACGTAAATGACTGTGAATTCCCCCCTACTCCACAAAAAAAAGAAAAATTGAGACATCCACTGAACTTTCAAAATGGCAGATACAAGCTCCCAGTGTTCATGCAGAACAACCTGCTTCGATTCATTTTTTTTTAATGAAAGAAGAAAATGAGGAAAAAAAAATGAAAGGGGATTTTGTTGATCCTTATAAGGAAAATTTAAGTATTAAGTGCATTTAAAAATGATAATTTGGGTAAAAAGAAAAAAAAAACTGGAGAAAGGGAAAATACGAAACGTGAATTTTCTTTTTCTCAAATGACTTGTCCTGTGTCCATGTATAGCTGTGTTTTGTACTTTCTTTGTTCCTCCTTTCTGGTTCCAAACCGGCCTATGTGATTTCTGTAGTACAGGTGGTGTTATTTTCTAAGACAATGATTTATTTTGAAAAGGTGAAATAATGTTTAAAAAAAAAGTTCTAAAAAGAATTAAAACCACAGCAATAGGAGTATAGGCTTATAATCTAGGCTTAATGCTGCAAGCGCACTTATATTCTTAGGATGACCAATACCATCTGGGAAAATGGGAGGTTTTTGGAGTTCATGTTCAACTTTATGACCCAGCGGAAACATTTTTGTTCTTTTATTAATATGAAGTTACAGGATCCACTTTGTTTTCCAAATTATTTGCCGAAAAGTCTTCCCCATTCCATCCACCTCTGAATATTTGGCATAAGTTCCCCCAATTGGATAAAATTTTATTTTAAAAAAATCCTACAAGTTGCCTGGACCTGCTGTTATAAAGGTTTTGGAGGCAGGTTGCTCTAAATGCGTTATGTGTGCATTTAAGGGCGTCCGCAGTGCCTCAAACTGCGCTGAAAGCAAAAACTGACTTGTTTAAAAAACAATTGGAGAGGTCAAGGGTCATAAAAGTTTGAAGCCTAGCCAGAGTAGTGTTTAATAGCAGTATTATTAAAGCGTCCCTGAAATGTCACCCTTTATTCACTTCAAGCATTAAGTGCCTGACAAGCATGATGTGATTTCTTATCAAAACGTTGTTAAAGTAGGCCTACAACATTTTGGGGGAACACAATTAGATTTTAAACTTCAGTCGTGTGTTTCAGTTGAAAAACACTGATTAGAGGCAGTATTCTTGTAAATATAGGTCAATTCATTTCAACGAGTTTTTCCTTTATACAAAGTATATGTGATTAAGAAAAATCTGTGGTTGCCATTTTTTTTCTCGGTAATACAACGTCTTCAAAATTGAGTGGCAGACTTAGCTAGTAGCACTGAAAGTTATGTTTTTAATGTATATACATATTACTACAAATGTTTTCTTTTTCATGTATATTTAGACTGTGAATGCATGGCCACAGGTCGCTAACCTATTTTACCTTTGATATATAAATGTAAATGTTTTCTCTCTCTCTTTTTTGACTGTATAGATATAATCTGTGCATTCAGTACACTAGCCCTTGTATTTAAAGAAACAAAAAAGAAAAAGAAAAGAAACGACGTTCATTATTAGGCTACAGACTTAAACAGGGTGAGCAGGTTTGGAGAAAAAAGGAGCTGATATTTTAACTTTAGTGTTATTGCTCCTTTTGGTCTTTGACAGGTGCCGTGAGTGTGCGTGAGCGTGTGTGCGCGCGCGTGTGTGAGAACGTGTGTGTGCGTGCGTGCGTGCGCGTGTGTATTTGGAAGCTAGCAATTTTGTCCTTGTTTTGAGGCTTTTCTTCAACACACACACAAAAACACCATGTTGTGGTTGAATTAAAAGGGATCACTGATTGAACACTGATCTTTGGCTGTTCGTAGCCACATATGGACCAGAGAATGATACATGATTGTAATTATGAACAGTTTAAACTGACCCACGTTTTTATATAAATATATAAAAATATATGACTGCAGGGTATTGATAACGTATAGATACTTTTTTTATGATTATTATTATTGCAAGCTTGATATATTGATGTGTGCTGAAAGTTATAGTTGAACACAATTTTGTTTGTTTGTGTTAGCTTATTGTAAACAAGCATTCTGCCTGTAATTTGTTCTTGGTATTAAATTATAATTTAGAATGAAAACACACGTTTTTTCCATGTCTTTTACTTCCCACACATACCTGTGAACTTGTCCTTGTATGTGCGTGTATGTGCGTGTGGTGTGTGTGGTCGGTTGGAGGGCGGAAGGGAGGAGGAGGGGAAGGGATGGGGGCTGGAGTCAATTTGCTGTGGCAGGATGTTGCCCTTTTGCCCCATGAAAGTGATTAATGAATTACAAAATAATTAATCAATCAGCCAACAGGCCGGCTCAACGCCTTCACTTTTTTTGCTGCAAGGTTAAGATTATTTTTTATTTAAAAAAAAAAAATGTCGATCAGTAATTTACTGCACTGTTTGGACAATTATGTATTTCAAGTTGATGTCTGTTAAACTTCAAAATTAGGATACAGCAGTTGCAATAAGGCGCCCTGCCTCAACAGATAATAAGTCTGTATAACAGTAAACACCCTATTTTACACGGGACATGGACTGTAGTGGAGAAATACCCAACTCAGCTTCCCCACCGCCTTATTTGCGGAAGACTGTTTCACCTTTGGACGCTCACATAAATATTAATGGGATGGATCCATGCAGTATAAATCATAAATAGTAGCTTCCAAATAATCTGAATAATAATAATAAAGTCAATCTGAAAGGAAAAGTTAGTCATTATTTCGGGGAAAAAAAATCGAATTATCTTCTATTGATCCTCCACTGGGCTGTTCTTTTGCGTTATATGATCTACATTTTATTTCCAACTGCATCAGTGAGCTTCATTAACACTACTGGGAGTTGCTGAACACGAAATTTTATAACTTTTTTTTAAAAATCTTTTAATGTATGTGAATATCCAAGAAGTGGGTGTGATTGGTTTAAATGCCAATTATTTACGCGAAACCTTTGGCCTGTCAGTAATTATTAGTAGTATTGGCATAGTTGAGAGTTACCCCTGGAATAGAATTAGCCTTGTTGTATAGAGACTTAATCAGGATGGGTATAGAAGCCAACTTCACCATAGTTGCTGCTGCTGCTGGTGGTGATGTGTGTGTGTGTGTGTGTGTGTGTGTGTGTTTGTGAGTGTGTGGTTTTGTTGCTTTTGATAATGATGAAAATGATGATTATGATGTGATGCTGATGGTCTTTTATCCTCGGCTTCTTGCTGAAAGCGCTATTTATCCATGCTTTCACTGCTTGTCCAACCAAACTGTCTCTGAGGTATATCACACTGAGGCCAGTCTAAGCCCCACACTGATAATTAAGGGTGGACATCACACTACACAACATCACCAGTGAGCCAATATGATTTCACTGGACCAAGTATTTACAGTACAACCATAAATGAAAAAAAAAAACCCTCACTGCACCACCCTCAAAATATGAGCACAGGAGAGATAGAGACCTCTAAAAAAACACACTGGATTTAGTCAGGAATCTCAAGTAGAGCTTCAGAATCGGTTTGGACGGGTAGGATCTCGACGCTGACCGGGCTGATTTTAGTTGACAGAGCGTGATGTATATGCTGGACTCCATAATTTGTACTTCTGCTCATTTATTAGCCTTGTACAAAAAAAACTAATGAGGTGTAACTCGCTCCGACGTCACTTATATTTACGTCCCTGTGACGTGAGAACTTTCTGACACACGAGCTACAGTCCTACATCTCCCCCCCACCACCACCACCACCCCACCACCCAATCTCCCACCTTCCACCACCCCCCTCCAAAAAAAAAAAATTTCTACAGGCTGCGGGGCCAAGGCGTGTGTATACAGTAGAGTCTGTGCTGGTGGTTCACGTTTGCTGGGGTTTACACGCTGAAGCTGAGAACTTATTTAGGGCTCACAGGCTATTAGTGGGGCTATTTGTTTAATAAGATAAGAATATGGTTTGCAGCCTCTCTCTTTCTCTCTCTTCCACACATAGGACTGCACGCACACACACACACACACACACACGCACACACACGCACACGCATGCCCACATAGTTAAACGACAAATATGCACATTATTTGCACCTTGGCACTATCACTATGACAAATTAGCCCATACAGCATGCGCTTTATTGCATATATAGGCTGAGGCACCGAAGCTCATTTACAATGTACCTTATAAGTCATAAACGGTTAGCAAGATGGGGCACCTGTTCCTTATGTTAGTACAC